ACTCCAGGAGTGGACAACAGGTCGCTCTCTCAGCCTAAGGGCCAAAACACCGAGCTAACAAAAGGAGCTCGGCACTATAAGGCCCAGTCGCCTCTCCAGCATGGGCAAACTCCGGGAGTGGACTACAAGCCTTTCTCCCAGCCTAAGAGCCAAGACGTCGAGCTAACAAAAGAAGCCCGCCACCATAAGGTCCAGTCGCCTCGTTGGCTCAGGCGAACTCTAGGAAGAGTGGACCATAAGTCGCTCCCCTAGCCTACGGGATAAAGCATCGAGCTTGCAAAGGACCTCGGCACCGCACAAGACTTAGTCGCCTCAACAACATAGGCTAAGTACTTTAACGCCCCAAACACAAGTAGCTCGGGTATAACCTAGATGGAGACAAGTCGGGCATATACCTTACTATGTCACCCACCTCGGTGTACCTTACAAAATCACCCCTACTAAGTACTGGGAGGCAGTTCGGGGTGATAGTAGTTAAAGAACACCCACATCGGGAATTTGACTCGATAGCTTAACAGCTCGGGGTAAGACAACCACTTCGGCAAAGATAAATTGCACAAACACTTAGCAATATAAAACACTTCCCATTGCAAAATGCTTCATTATAGAAGTTCATTACAAAGTTTCATTACAAGTGTTGACAAAAAATAAAGAAATTGAGCTCGTAGGCTCAGAGTATAGACTAAAGGGGAACATCCTCCTTGTTCGGAGCCTCCGAAGTGCTGACCTGATCGGTGGTGGTAGCCTCGTTGTCACCCTCTAGATCGAAGTCCGGGTCCTCGGCAGCTAGTTGGGCTACTTCTCCTGTAATCCGCGAGGTGGTGATCACGCTCACGTCAAGTTGCGGGAATTCGCGCTTGATCAACCACCGACTAAGTTTGAAGCCTTTACGGTAGGCCTCCACCACCACTGCATCGAACTCCTCTAACTGGACATAATCCTGAACGGCCTTCACCTTAGCCTCGTCTAAGGTACAGACAAGAATTTCAGTCCGCTCCTTGACATCGGCCTTCAGGTTCTCCACTTCGCACTCCAAGGTCACCTTGCCTGACTTGAGCTCCTTCACCTTGAGTAGCAGCTTCTCCTTCTCACGAAGGAACTCCTCGTTCTTGCATTGCAGCTCCTCCTTCTCCGACATTAACAGTTGAATATAATTTTTCTGAGCGATGGTATTGCTCTCTAGACGATGGATCTGATCGCAAGCTAGCTTCAGATTAGTATGAGCTTCACGAGTAGAGTCTTAAGCAACTAGAGCTCGCTTCAAGTTCCTGTCGAATTGGAGAGTGAGGGCATGGACGAAGGAGTTCACCTGCCAAAGGAATGTCAGTTAGCACCGGTAAGGCAATGAATCGCAAAAGTTTTTAAGTAAAGAGACTCACCACCATAGAGTGGGTAGCTGCCCGAGCTCCGAGCTAAGCAGGCGTGAGATCGGCCCATTCAGAGACCTCTTCAACATAGGTGGCCCCCTTGCTCTTTCGGAGGCTGTTCTTGGGGTTCAGCACACTTCGGGTTGCATCCCCGCTCCTCGATGTTGAGACGGCCATCTCAGGAGCRGGCTCCACAGTGGCAGGCTTCACTATTGAAGGCTCCGCGGTGGTCTCGAGCTCTTGGGGGGGGGGATCTCCGACTCCTCCAAGACAATCACCAGAGGAGCTTAAGCGGGCTGCTCGGGCTCTGGGGTAAGAGCCGGAGGAGATTCGATACGAGCACTCTTGGTAGCTCGCTTCTACCTCTTCTTCATCTTGCCAAACAACTTCTCGGCACTAAGACGCTCCATAGGACCTGCAATAGAGTTCGACATCAGTAATGTCGCTAAGAAAGTATCAACTACCAAAGATGCTAACTCTAAGACATAGCGACCTACCGGGACTCAGACCGGCCTCAGTGAGCTTCTTCTCGGCAATGAAGTCCTTGTAGTCGAAGCTGAGCTCTGCTCACGACTGGAGTATCTCCCTTGTGTCCTTGTCCAGCGTAATGTTGGAGTCTTGAATGGCCACCCTCCAATGAGTAGGGAAGGGCCATCCCTTGGGGTTCCAAACTACGAAGTAATCCCATTTCCAGGCCGGGATTTTTCCAGGGAGATTGTGTAGCAGCTTGTACCCAAGGCGGGGGGACAAGTAATAAGTCCGCCTGTGCTTGGGGAGAATGCTAGATGCGTTCTTCTTGATGGACAAGATTGTAGAAAAAATATCAATGTCAAGTGGAAGGGCATAGTCAGAACAGAGGGAGATGGTCCCGACCACATTCCGAATGGAGTTCGAGTGGAGTTGGTCTATGGTTACGTCGAAGTGGTTCAATACTTCCACGATTAAGGGGTGTAGAGGAAGATGGAGCCCGGCTATGAGCTGCTCCCTGAAGATTACGATCTCATCGTGACCATGTTCCCAGGGAAAGTTGCCCGTAGGGAGGTTATAGGAGTATTCCTTAGGAAGGTAATACCGATCTATTAGGCCTCTAAGCTTGTCTACTGTCATGGTAGAGGGACCAAACCGGTCTGGTATTTTGACTCGGCTAGAGGCAGACGCTGGGTTGCCTGAGGCCTTCCGCACCTCGTAAGTGGAGTGCGCCTCGGGGACAGTTACTTAAGCCGAGGTACCCACCTCGGGCTCGTCCAAGGAGTCGAAGCTATGGTCTAACATAGCTACGAACTGAGTGGACTAAGGGAACTAGAGGCTAACTACGAAAGCAAAACGACTGGAAACGAACTAAAGGAGAAGCTAAGGAAACTCACCAAGGAAGGGAGACCGAGCTAGGAAGATTGGTAGACCAAAGAACCTGAGCTAAAAGAGCTTTGCCTCAACCTCCAGGCGAGAGTTTGTCAACTTATGGTGGAAAAAATGACGGGGGTCCCCCCTATTTATAGCCACTATGTCCGAAAATCAACGGTCAAGATCAAGGCGATCCAACGGCTCTCAAGAAAACCGGCTGGGCGACCCCCAAGGTGAAATTGGTTTAGCGCATTTTTTGATGTCCCCGAGTCTATAAATCACGTGAAATCCGTGCGTGAACTGTACGCGACCCGTGTTGTCTTCGATTGAGTCGGGCAACGAACTAGTCTAGACTGGCGAACCGTTTGACTTGGCGACCTGAACCTCGGGCCAAATCCACCCGACACGCCGTGAACTCCCCGCACTRGGTCAAGACCCCTAGCACGGGGAGTGGGGGGCAATTGATGGAGGGTGATTCGGTCCGACCTCATGATAAGGGGACACGTGGACATGACTTGGCATAAGTGACACCTCGACATGAAAACTCCGCTAAGGTCCAGCATGGCAGCTCGGCCACAAGACACTTCTTCGAGTGCCCCGCGCTCCGAACTCCAATTCTTCCATAGCAAACATTCTGAACTAAGGTCCTCCAAAGTTAGGGGCGTCCCGAGCTAAGGGCACCCCGGGACAAGTTCATTCTCAAAGATAAGCCGAGCTCAAGAGCCCCACCTCGGGCAGAGGAACCTCGGTATAATACCAGTAGCTCGATAAAGAGTAGCTTGGTACAAAGTAGCTCGGGATAAGAGTAACTTAGCGAATCACCGAAGGATTTCCTACTTGACAACCGTACCTACCAAATTCGTAGACTACACCCACGTCTCTCGTCAGGCAGCGACATGCCTGCCGATTCTGAAAGATGTCTCATGCCTGGCAGGGCCGTA